AGGAGCGGCTGGGGAATGGGAGCCCAAGCAGGGCTGTCCCAGCAGGTTCCAGCTGTGCCCAGCACTTCGGTGCAGTGGGAAAATGGGGGTGCAAAGCCTCAGGGGGGCTGCAGGAACTCCTCTGCCAGGGCAGGGGGTTCTGCCTCCAGCTGCCCCTCAGCACAGCCTGGTCCTCGGGGTGCCTGCTTCCCTGCATCCCACATCCACAGCCCTGCTCTTCTGCAGCCCCAATCACCCATCCCCGCACCCCGCAGCCCCGTATCCTGAATCCCGTGTCCCCGCACCCCACAGCCCCATGTCTCTGTATCCTGGTGCCCCGTCTGGCCATATCCTGCTTCCCGTAGTCCCGCATCCTGCAACTCCATCTACCCATATCCTGCTTCCCGTGTTCCCATATCCCGCATCCTACAGTCGTGTATCCCGCATCCTGCAGCCCTGTATTCCCATATCCTGCATCCCCGCAGCTGGGTGCCCCACAGCCCTGTATCTCTAAATCTTGCAGCCCTGTTTCCCTGCATCTTGTGTACGCATAGCTCCATATCCTCACATCCCACAACCCACAGCCCCATATTCCCACATCCTCTAACACCATACCCCACAGCCCTGTAGCACTGCACCCCATAGCCCTTGATCCCACCGCCCACGTCCCCGCAGCCCCGCATCCTTGCAGCCTGCAGCCGGCATCCCTTGGTCCCATATCCTTACAGCTTGCACCCCACAGCCCTCTAACCTTGCAGCCCACAGCTCCATATCCCACAGCACCCTATCCCTGTATCCTGCAGCTCCCCATCCTTGTAATCCAGCTCCTGCAGCCCCATAGCCTCACAGCCTGCATCCCGCAGTCCTGTACCCTTGCAGTCTGGCTAGCACAGCCCCGTATCCTTGCATCCCATGTCCCACTGCCTCATCCTTGCAGCCTGCATCCCACAGCCCCGTACCCTTGCAGTGCACATCCCAATGTCCCGTACCCCTTCATCCCGTACTCCCAGCCCTGTATCCCTGCATCCAAATACCCTGTACCCCTGCAACCCACATCCCCAGCCCTGTGTCCTTGCATTCCGCTGTCCTGTACCCCTGCAGCCCACATCCCCAGCTGTGTATCCCTGCATCCTGCTGCCCTGGACTCCCGCAGCCCGCACCCCCAGCTCTGTATCCATGCATCCTGCTGCCCTGGACTCTTGCAGCCTGCATCCCCAGCCCAATAACCCCGTATCCCTACATCCCCATCCCTGTATCCCCACATCCTTGCATCCCCAGCTCTGCACCTCCACGTTCCTGCCTCCTCAGCTCCATACCCCCGGATCCCACAGCCCTGTACTCTTGCAGCCCGCATCCCCAGCTCATTACCCCCGCATCCCCA